TTTTATAGGGACCATGCAATGCCTTTTCCCCCCAGAATTTTACAAACACCAAATTCTGGCTTCCTGCCTCCCAATCCACAAATATTCTATACCACTTTGCAACAACTCATACCAAACTTAACATTATATTCTCATTCTTTCATTGGATGTGGGCATCACTGACAAGCGCCAGCATTTACTGGCCTTGAATTGAGTCATTTGCTAGTTCCACTTAAGAGGGCAGTTAAGAGTCAGCCACATTGCTGAGGATCTGGAGTCAAGTGTAGGCCTGACTGATGGCAGATTTCCTTCCCTAAAGGACATTAGTGAGCCAGATGGGGTTTTTTTTAATGACAATCCATGGTCACCCACACTGAAACTAACTTTATGTCAATGCTTACCAAACGTTTGTTGCCATTTTCGTTCTTGAAAACTGCCGTGAGCCCAGAGCTGTAGGAGCAGTTGGAGGAGAGAGCTTTAGGAGGAGTGAGGCATTGAGGGATGAAGCAGAGGGTGTGAGAGACCTGTGAGATAAGTGGGGGGGAGATTTAAAACCCGCAGAGTTATTCGGTAAAATGTTCTTTGCTGCTAAAGGATTCAGGCCTCGGGGATCAATCTGTTAACAAAAATTCTGAGATTTAAAGGGGCCACGCACCTGCTGGCATGGCAGCCATTGCTGTCTCACAACTCCCAACCTCAAAATTTCAGAGTTACACAATCTTTATATCCCCGATTAAATAATTGATTAAACTTACATTTTCCAGCTGCCAAGGGGGTTGCGAGGAGGGGGTTGCATTTTAGCCCTGTCCCCAGACCACGACCTTGGGGTCTTTGAATCACTGCTACTACACCACCATCATCTCTTCCATCCTAAAGACCAGAACAGTCTAGAACTTTCGAACTTTCTAGATTGGGTTGAATCAAAAGCAAAACAGCTGTCCCTTCATGTTCTAGCGAACATTCCAATAGCCTTTTGGATATGTTTTCTTTCACTTGATGAGCCCAAAATATCAGGGAAAAGGACAAGTTGTTTGAGGTTGAGTTGAGTAGTTCTCATTCTGGTTTGAGCATTTCTGCTGATTTCCAGGAGGGGGCAGTGGTGCTTCTATTGTGCAATTCTTAAAATGTAGTTGCCGAATTTATTTAAGTAGTTTTTTAAAACTGTGATTACCAAGCTCAGTCTTGTTTTCTTCACTTTGTAATTCTGAAGGGGTATGTGATTTTTGTGGTACTCGCAAATTGCCTACTGAACACCAGACCTAGTACCTTGTAACAATTAGATTCAACACTGTCCCTCATATTATTTTAGTTGCCTTTCATCCAGAATGTTCCAGAGGATCTGGAAAATAAACCAGTTCATTATTGAATGATTATTCAGTCAGAACACACACAGGGCAGAATCTAACAATATTAACGTGGTACATATCCTCACATTTCATTTTGAATTATCTTTCTTTATATACAAACAGACAAGTTAGGAGCAGGAGTTGCCCATTCAACCCCTCGAGCCTGCTGTGCATTCAGTAAGATCATGGTTGATCTTGTTACTCTACATTCCCCGTTATCCCCCTGATAATTGTTCACCCCTATCCTTCTCAAGAATAAATTTACTTTGGCCTGAGAAAGCTCGAAAGACTCTGTTTCCACCACCTTTTGATGCAGAGAGCTCTAAAGATTCACAATCGTCCGTGAGAAAAAAAATGCTCCTCACCTCCATCTTAAATGGGTGACCCCTTTTTATTCAAACAGTAGCTTCCTGTTATAGATTTTCCCACGAGAAAAAACATCCGCATCCATCTAAGCAAGAACACTCAGGATTTTACATCTTTCAATCAAGTCACCTCTTAATCTTCTAAACTCTAGTGGACAAGCCTAGCCTGTCCGACCAAAGATGTGTAGGTTAGTTGGATTGGCCATGCTAAACTTGCCCTGTAGTGTCCAGGGATGTATAGACTAGATGGTTTAGCCATGGTAAATGCAGTGTTATGGGGATGGAGTAGGCGTTGTGTCTGGGTGGGATGTTGTTCGGAGGGTGGGTGCAGACTCAATGAGCCAAATTGCCTCTATCTGCACTGTAGGGATTCTATGACCTATTCACATAAGACAACCATTCTAATTATGGTCCAGTAACCCTTCTCTGAACTGCTTCCAGCATGTTTACATTTTGTCTTAAATAAATAATACACAGTACTCCCAATGTGGTCTTGCCAATGCCCTGTATAACCGAAGAGTAACCTTCCTACTTTTGTGTTTAATAGTCCCACCAAACATGATAACATGCTGAAAAAAGATATGTTTTATCAAAGCTTTTCATCTTGCACTGATCAGGACAGTTTGCAAGAATACCATTTCAAGGGGAAAACCAATGCTTGTACTGTATGAGAGGAGAGTGCTCATTGATTGCCCATTGCACGCTGTTTGGAAGTCGTGTTACAATGGAGAATGCACTAGTTAAAAATGACTGTCAGTTAACTACCAAGCTTTGATTAGACTCAGCAGGTCGACAGTAATTGGTTAAAGGCATTGCCCTGAGGAATGAACTAGAGAATGGCTGTTGCCCGTTTAGTTGAGCTGATTGGCACAGTAAATGTCCATGTTCTTTCTGCAAAGAGTACGGCACTATATATAAATATGTGTAGCTTCCAGTACACACACACAACATATCCCCTAAGCTACATGACTGCGCACATGGACAGCTGCTCTGATATTCTGCACATGTCGAATGGTGACATCAATTTGATTGTGGCATTGACTTCTGGTTGTGAGAGTTGCTGCGCACTGGGTAAAAAATGAGAGGCGACACTGCTTACGGGTACACTGCACTGCGAGCCCAACTGATACTCTTAGATTGTTTGTCAATGTAATTCTTTGCACTACCCTAGCAATTCAAATCATTCAGGCATTTAGGGCACTGAAGCCAGGTTCTCCTCCCACAGGCACTGACGCCCGCTGCCACCCCTGTCCAAGCTGCCTTTTTCAGTCAGATAGCCTCATGTTGCACAGGGAAAATTACATCCCTCTTCTCCTGGGTAGCTTTCAGGAGAACCGCTGGGGAAGTATTGCTTTCCCCCAGCTCTCCGAGGGGCTGGTGGGGGTGATGAGCAGAGGTTGGATGATGCTCCTGTGTGACGGAGAGTGAAGTGCTGCTTTTTAAGGTGCTATTTAAATATGGCAGCTAGGAATTGGAGCTCAGAACGTCCTGCCTTCCTGCCCGTCCACCTGCCTTTCTGCCTGCCCACCTGCCCATCCACCTGCCTCCCTGCCTTCCCACCTGCCTCCCTGCCTTCCTACCTGCCTTCCCACCTGCCCACCTGCCCATCCACCTGCCTCCCTGCCTGCCCACCTGCCC